TTTTGACTGATATTTCACATTTGTAGCAATGGTTTCGGCACTTGATTATTGCATACAATACACTATCAAAGCAAACAATTTATACTGGGATTTGAATTTTATTTTTGGCAAAAGTTTTTGTTATATTTTTAATGATTTATATCTAAAGTCTGCGCTTTTCTATTAATAATAAACATTAGATATTGTAATAATCCATAGGAATTGATGTAAAAACAAATGAATTATAGCTTTTAATAATGAAAAACTAATAAATAAATAAAAGTTTACATAAAGTGTGAATTAATTTACAAATATTTACAGAAACAGCCAAAATATTTTTGGTAACAACAGAACGCCTTATATATAACTTTCAATTCATTGTGTATTATATTAAAAATACTTTAAATTGTCATAAATAACTTTTTCCGTGAGCTGTAAATGACTTTTCGTTAATTAGTTTATAATCACTTCAATTGCATAACAAAACAATGGTTTGCTTTTAAAAAACTAGATATTTTTTTCTATAAAAATAAGTTAATATCACAATTATTACTGTGAAGACAAATATCACAATAAACTGAGTCTCAGTAATCACTCAATGATTAGATAATCTAATCGTTTGCGTGAATTATAGCAATACTATTGACCAAACCGTTTGGAAGCGACTCTTGTTGTGGTGTAGTCTCAGCCGTCTTGTTAACAGCCGATGACCTCTTGGAGTCACCGATGGACGAGCGGGGCGTTTGGCCGGTGGTCTCCTCTTCAGTCCTATGCTTATTGATGGCCACCTGAGCCTGATATACGACAATCGCTAAGAAAACGATACCCACTAACAGTATGATTACGCCGATGCTGGCGATCGATATGGTTATGATAGGAGTGTCCCTCTCCTTGTCGTCGTTGAATATGAATTTACACATCAGTCCGAACACAATGATTGCACTGCCGATGAGCGAGAAGAACCTTCCGATGTGATACCACTTATGGTTAGACAGTTGTCTCTTATCCTTCTCGTACCGGCTCTGCGAGCGTGTGATGAAAAAGTTTCGGTTCGCCTTTTTTCGTGTATTCATATTCATTGTCTGATGTCTGGAACCGATTCTCTCACCCAATAATTGTGACAAAATGTCCGCAAAATATATGAAATATTTATGATTGCATTTCTTTCTCAACATTAATTCAATGGTAGAGATGTAGAAAAGTGTTAACAACTATTGATAGGCTTAAACGTACAATAATTAGATAATTGCTATAACTGTAACTCAGGTAACCTTAACAGTAATGTTAAATCAAAAATATATGCAAAAATTAATAGATATTTGTCCACTAAATCACTTTCCAATTGAAAACACATACTGTATTAGATCTCACAATATTTGCAATAAATTTTACAATATTTTGTTTTATTTGATCGAAAAAATAAGAGTATTTAAAAGTATTTAATTACATCAAAATGAGAGTTACGGCACATTAACGTAGGCTTTGATGTCACGCAGACATCGAGACTTATTTGCAATGGTTTTTACCTGACATTCCGTTCAACAAATACTGCATTATTTTAATGCCAATAATGATCATTATATTCAGCACTTTGTTTGGCACTGAAATTATAACAGAATTCGTTTAAACACTTTTGTTTTCGTGTGTAAAATATGTGTTTCGCTAATAAATTATAAACTTATTTATTAAACTTTTTATAATTAAAACATAATTTCATATATAGTTTTTCGACGACAGATATATATATACAGACAAAATATATTTATATTTACGTATATATTTATATCACAGACTAAAACATTCCGTCTTTGATACCAATGGGTATTAAAAAGAGCAAAAATATGATAATATTTCTGGTGGTGTAGCGCCAGTCAGAGGGTATGGCGTATTTCACCATCTTATGTGTCAATTCGTGAATCTCGTGAGCGATGCAAATGAATATGAATGACGTGATCACGACGTTCAGCACCGGATAGCTCGGCACCAGCACTAGTATGCCGTGAGTATCCGCGCCCAACCATATGTGATACTGGCATATGAATAGCTGTCAACGAATCATATTTCAAACAAATAATAGTATCAAATGTGTGCTTAAAA